TATATATATATATATGTATATATACGTACTATAAGCAAGTTGCGCAATATTTTCCTTCGCCACTCTTTATTCTTGCTTCTCTTTATACGTGCAACAAGATTTATCAACTATTCCAACAGCGTGAATGTATTTTGCATACATTGTATTCTGATTACACGGCAATTATCTCCCGATTGAAAAATATCATTCTGCCCTGCCGCTTCAGACACGTTAAACTATTACAATTAATTTGCATAACAAACGTTTCTAGATGGAACGCTACGGTTAGGCAACGAACGAGTCTATTTTATGCATCTTTTAAATCATATTATGCCTAGCGTTTCGCGTAGGATACGAATCTTTATCGTACGAGTTTTAGATCTTGGAGTAGGAAATATGATCACGTGCCAGCTCTAATTTGAATAAACGCATCTCGCGAGCCACAGTGTATACACGTCCGCAGTATCTCGAACGATTAACCATACTAAACGGAGATTCGTCCACATGAATTATCCAAATTAGACCCGATCGAGCGGCAAGATTGACGAAAACCACCGAAATAAATTTTAGAATACGAATAAATTTTATTTAATTTCGTAAACCGAGATTCGACAAATATTCGCAATGTAAGGCAAGTTTCCTGTTGCGAATCGTGCAGATGTAAGTGTAACGATGAAATTCCACCGATGCTTTACATCGCCTAATTACTATAGAGTAAATCAGAGTTTTCGAAATTTCAAGCTTCTTCCCCATAAATAATATCGAATTATTATTTCGAGGCATAACGTATAGCTCTCTTCGATTGAGAAACAAGCAAGCCACTGCAGTGGTATACCGTTCAAAGAGCTGATGCATGCGAAGGTCATTGTTCAGCATTCGTGATCGTACGAGCACGTTCGTGCATTTTATGCGATTATCGAAATGACGGGTGTTCGAAAAACACTGTGTGTCTTGGTAATAATTTACTGGCGGTGTGCAACTTGCCTGGATTCTTTCTATCTCTTATTTACGCCAGCCGAGTGACTCTCAGAGATTTACTTAGATTATACCTCGAAAATAATAATCTGGTTATAATACACTAGTATAATGTACAATATAATAATGTATATTATATATATTATGCAGAGTGTCATTCAAAGATTTATTTGGAGTATACCTTGAAAATAATAGTTATAATATACTAGTATAATATACAATAGTTATAATATAATAGTATAATATACAATATAATTATAACATAATGGTATAATATACAATATAGTTATTATATATATTATGCAGAGTGTCATTCAAAGATTTATTTGGAGTATACCTCGAAAATAATAATTTGGTTATAATACACTAGTATAATATACAATATAATAATGTATATTATATATATTATGCAGAATGTTATTCAAAGATTCACTGGTTATAATCAGACTTAATCCAGATTTAAACCAGATTTAATCTGGTTATAATATAATGTACAACATGTTATACAACATACAACATATTAAATTATTATTATAAATTATAAATATATTATGTACAATATATTATTATATACAGTGTAATATATATATTATGATGGAGTGTCATTCAAAAATTTATTTGCAGTATACCTTGAAAATAATAATCTGGTTATAATATACTAGTATAATATACAA